GTATGGGAGCTTATGTGGTGGTGGAGGGCTCCACGGTACCTGAGGTGATGCCATGGGACCTGAGAGTGAGTTTTGAGAGAAAGGTCCCCCAGGCAAAGGTCTGGGGATAAGGTGCTCCAAGCAGAGGAAACAGCATCTACAAAGAGCCTGAAGTGGGAATCAGCATGGCGTTTTTGAGAAATAGAAGAGGACATGACCTCCATATGGAATGGCAACACTGTTAGGCGTAGAGCCAGCATGCAGTGATGGTTAGTGCACCATATTAATAATGCTATTTGTATCGGTTAGCTACATACAGCTGTGTAACAAATCACCCCAGAACTCTGTGGCTTAAAATCAACAAACACATAGGATCTCGCACAGTTTCTGAGGGTCAGGCATCGAGGGGCAGATAGGTGAGTGGTTCTGTCTCGGATTCTTTCATGAGGTCAGTCAAGCTGTCAGCTGGGCTGCTTCATCTGAAGACTTGCCTGGGGCTGGAGTCAATGGGGCTGGAGTCCAAGCCGGCTCCCTGTGTGGCTGGTGCCAGGGGGCTCAGTTCCTTGCCCCGTAGGCCCCTCCACAGGGCTGCTCACAGCATGGTTTACCCCTGGCACATGACAGAAAAAGAGAGTGACTGAGCCCGGCTGGTGTGGTATTGGGGTCCAACCCCAGCAGGTCCAGGGGTCCCCAAAGGTCTGGACGGAGTTGGCGATGAAGGAATGACACGGAGACAGCATTCAGTTGATCAGCAGCCTAGCCAGGATCTCTAGCCAAGTTCTGTCCAGGATCTCCAGCCAAGTTCTGTGTAGGACCTCCAGCCAGGTTCTGTCCAGGTTCTCTTGCCATGTTCTCTCGCCAGGTTCTCTAGCCAGGTTCTCCAGTCAGGTTCTATCCAGGTTCTCCAGCCAAGATCTGTGGCCAGGTTCTGTCCAGGATCTTTTGCCATGTTCTCTCGCTAGGTTCTGTCTCTAGGTTCTGTCTTCTGTTGTCTTGTTACATCTGTATTTATACCAGTTGATTTTAATCCTATCAATTTCTATTCCAAAGGTTAGGGTGTTTCTTATCTCCATTCCAGGGAGTAAAGATTATGTAGCTTAAG